ATTTATATAAAAACCGGACAAAACCAGACATTGCTTGGAGAAAAGAAAGCGAGGAAGTTGAAGTACCTGGTGAGAACTTTATTCCAGCTATCGTTGTACTTTACTGTGAACAAGTTAGCATAGCATAGTCCTGATCGATCAGAACTCCATTCAGAAAAAAAAACATTTAAAAAGTTGTTGTCCTGTTGACTTGCTGACAGACCTGACAAAGTATGAATTCATATATCTAATGAATCGGCATCATATTGTAGTTATTTCGGCATCAGTTTGATCCGTTTATTGCAATTAAATCAAATCAGCAAAATGTTTACTTTGGGTTCATTTAGGTGTAGTATTCGCAGGGTTGTGTTTATTTGCTTATCGCGTTGTGTGTGAACACAGATTAATTTTGCGTTGTATGTGAATATAGCATAACACCACCTTAACCTTCCTCAATGCCCAAGGCATCAGGCCATGTTCAGACAGACAACAGAGATGCTCTTTGAAAACAAAGGAGGCGTCGTCATGTGACAGGAGCCTGATGAATCAGGGAAATATACGTCATGATTGATAAGATCCAATGAGGAAGCCAAACGTCAGTGTTTTCACATTTTGAAACAAAAACGCGTACATTTTTCCGTTTTAAGTGTTCGGATTCTCTATTTTGGTGTGGAATGTAGGCATAAACGTAGCAAAATTGTTGTACAACACTGCAGTAGTGTGGATGTAGCCTCAGTGTAGAAGAGAGCAGCACGATTAGCACCCCACTGTAGTAGAGATAAAATGTGCTGGAAAGGTTCAGATGTAAAATCTAATAGTTTTGATACAACCATATTATTTGTATTCAAAAGTATTATTTAGAGGAAATACACACATTATTAAACGAGGCAGATGAATCACATTACACTACCCCAACGAAAGGCTAATACTAAAACAAAAAACAAAACAGTAATGTAATGATCCGTATCTCAATGGAACAGTTTGACTTTACGTCTCAAGAAGAGAAGGTTTTAAGAAGCAACTTAAGAGGTTCTTGAAGACAGTTAAGATGAACTGAGATTATTGTTTTGGTCTGCCTAACAAATGATTTAAATTGTTCCAAATGTTTCAGTATTTTATATATGTATGGTTATGATGTAATGTTATTGTTCAATGCATTTGTTGGTTTTATATGGACCCCAGGAAGAGTAGTTACCAAGGTCCCATCCGATGGGGATCCCAATAAAAGAACAAACAGATCCATGATTTTGAAGGATTATCAGACGCCAAATCAGTGCATCTTATAATATTATCAGGTAGGCTTTTGCAACTCTGGAAAGTTATCACAACCGCAGTCATGTTATCTTTCATTGCAGCGATCACAAGAAATACCAGCATTCACGTTAAGTTATCACATTACAAAGTGATCTACTAGAAATGTGTGCTGGCTCGTATCTCTTTCATAAACACTAATGTTCTTTGTTTCATAATGTAGAAGTTGTCATTTCAGTGCGTCATCACCCTGTTTAGCACATTATTACTCTGCCAGACTACCGCATTGTTCTCACTGTTGCTTGTGAGCACTTCAATATTTATTTCTGACCTACACTGAAACAGTGACATCCTTTTTCAGGTTTGAATGCAGGGCACTTTGGAAGGCTAATGTGACCGTGTATACCTTTAGTCCGTGTGTCACACCACCACACAACCCTCCAACATCACCTCTCAGCCCTCAGATGAGGTGTAAGGTAGTTGACTTTTGCCCTGCTGTCACCCAACAGAGGTGAAAACTTCACCCTATCACATGCAGGTAGTGAGATTATGCTCTACTACCCCTCCACTGTTGTATTACTCATTTTATACTCATACATGCAGACGAGTTTAAAATGATCCTGCCTTTTCTTTGTTTTGCTGGCTGTGTTTTTGGTAAAAGAACCTCTCCTCAGTGAAGTCTAGAGGTGTTGTCTGATGTCTGGAAACACAAAACCTAAATAGCACCCATAAAAAGAATCAAAAAGTAGGTAAAGTTGCCTTCAGTGTTTTACACGTATGAACATTGTCTGGTGCTAAAACTGAAGCCTCAGAAATGAATTCATCTTTCTGAAGCAGCAACAGCAGGAGTGTTGAGAGAAAGCTTGAAATCAGACATGGAAAAGAGTTTTCTTGACTATTTGGTGTCTGACTGTGATTGTGCCTTTATTTAGTAAGTCTGGAGCACTGCACCTTCTAACTTAGTACGGTGAGGGTTGGCCAGTCCTCATTTCTATGGTTATGTAACTGTCTTATCTCTTGTATCTGTTACCTGAGCCCTGGGCATCAAATCACCCCCCCTCTACACACCATACCTTAAAAAAACACATGCAAGAATTCATAAACTGTATCAGGGCACTTAACTTAGAAATTAAAGTTAAACTACTTGCAGAAAGCTCGTAGTTCCCCTTCTTTTGTAAGACAACAAATATTTCCCAACCAATTAACATATTTTCCACAGCTTCACAGTCATTACAGAGCCAGTTAAACAGCAGGCTGGCTATTGTTTCCAGCTCCACCTGTGCTGGTGGATTGTCCTTTCAATGACTTCCAGTTAAGGAGGAGGAAGCTGATGAGGGCTCAGACTCTGCCCCTTGGTCGGCTGGACTTCAGAGAGGAGGAAATCATTCAGGGTCCCTTGGAAGACACAACGTCATCTGTTTTGCTGTGGTTGTTTTTGGTCACATGGGGTGTTACATACAGTAAAGCAGTGGGGGCAGAGTAAATGGAAAAGTTCTTACATAGGATGCTGTCTCTTTGATGCAAATGAGATGTGAATTATACTCTGAAGTGGGCTTTAGAGTATATGTCGAAGGGTTTTCTCTATAATGCATTTCCAAATGGAAACAGTGTGTGCCAACAAAAGAAATTTAGGGTAAACACTCTTTTCCCTCAGAGTTCTTCCTTGTTTTTCAGAATTGTGGGGGAGGAGGACACCATCAAAGCATACACCATACAACTTGTTCTTGAAGTTCCCTGGAAATTCTTCAAAAGTTCACCAGAAAATTCTTCACAGTCAATCAACGCATCCCACGAGAAACAGCAATACTGTGTATTGTACCACAATCTGAGTAAATACAGAGCTTTCTTATGTAATAACAATATATTTATCATTCCCTAACTGAATGGATGTCAGTCAGAGGGCAAGTGGCAATGCAGACACAACTAACGGTAGAGCTGAAGCCAGTGCAAGTAAAAAATTTTATAAAGCACATTTTAAAACCACCACTGTTGAACAAACTGCTGTAAAAGTAATGCAAATAAACCACAAATGCAGACCAACAAGAAATATACAGAAATAATAAAACAATAGAAATATAAAGCAACCAGGACAGGTAATATGAATGTCCCTAGACTGACTTGAACGCCAAAGTATAAAAATGTTTTATACGCTTTAAGACGAGACTTGTCTTAGTAGTCGGAGATGATCTAATGAAAGTGGGAAGTTTATTTCACAGTCTTGAGTTAATATGAACAGTTGAAGAAGTTTTATCAACAAATCAGTACAGACTTCAGAGTTCAAAGAAATCCAAAATAATCACTGTCCAAGCAAACAAGGCTATCCAAAACGGGTATAATCCATAAATCCACAGAACAAACAGGGAACAGGCAGGGCATGACAAGCAATGATGACCGGACAAAGACTGAGGGAAACACAGGCAATGTATACACAGGGCACTACACAGGTGAGAGACAATCAGAAAAATCGATCACACAGACCGAGTGATTACTGGGCAAACAGACAGAACACGTTACTAAACACAGACCATATCAAAATAAGATGGAACAGATCAGAATAATATAAATAACGAGCTAATCCAGAACACAAAAAATACAAATAAACTACAACCAACAGGGAAAACAGACTGAAACTAGGATTAAACAGAACACAGAGCAAACAAGGTATATATAATACAAACCAGGAGTAAATACACAGAACTAAAACGCAGGACTAAGAGACAGAACAGGTACTAAGTGAGCTAAACTGAACATGCAAATGAACAATGAAATAAACAAGGCTAAACAGAGGAAACACAAGACAAGGAACAAAGCCCAAAAACAGAAAACATGGACCGAACTAATAACACAGAGTGGATAAAGTAGACAAGATAACAACGCAGACAAACTCCACAACAAGAACAGACAGGATCAGACCAAAATGCAAAAACACACTGAGTAAACTGGACACAAGACAACAGACAGGACTGAAACCCAAAACACAGACTAAATAACAGATACCGAACTGACCAATAAACAAAACTCACAGAGACCTAAACTAAACAGAGCAGAAAGGCAGAATGTGACACAAACGTTAGCTACATCGGCAACAAATTCAAAACGACACATCAAGTTGAAGCATCTGACCAGTCTTGAATGACCAGCACAAGAAATCATTAACAAAGGATAGACCACGAGCCAACGTTTTTATGATATAGGTCCTACAGGATTTTTTTGTGAAAAGGAAAAACCATGCACTCTTTTCACCTCACCTTTTCATTGCTCTCAAGTTATATTTAAAAAGAATGGTGAATGAAAATAAGCATGGATTACAATGTTCAGTCAGCTTATTTTCTGGAAATGTATCGTTTCCCTCTCGTCTTGACCATTTATGTTGATTTGTGTTGTTTTTATCAGCTTTTTCCATCAGGCATAAGACCATAGAGCTATTTATACAGCTGGCTTCCTGCTATTCAGGGGCCGTGAGGCTTCTGTTGGAGAAAGACCTGGCCTGGATGCAGGTAGTCCATCACAGCTGACAGTTCCACTCTAAAGTCTTCCTGCTTGACTCATCCAGCCATTGGTCTTTCACTCCTCATCAACACTCTTCAGTCCTTCATAGAACTATTTATGTAACTTCTTTGGAAGTAGGAGTTCAAAAATAACACGGCGTCTTTTGATGACTTCTTATTGGAATTCATGTAATCATGTCATTGTGTGTGAATGATTTTTCCTGGATACTGTTCTGTTGTTTTTGCTCATTTGACACGTCATAAATAAAGCACTGACAAGAGTGACCTTCAAGATTTACTTCTATTGTTTTGAGAATGCTAATTAACTTCAAGCCAAGTATTGAGGCACAATGTACGAATATTTAAATTAAAAACTGAGAGAAGAACAGCACAAACTAGAAAATGCACAAACACAGTAACCAGGGATCTCAGAAAGTGGAGAAAATATCACAAGCATTACAGCAAAATGAGACAAACAGTCAGAGAAACACAATCGGGTGAAGTCTCGAGCAGCAGGATAAGTCTGGTTTGCGTTGGCGCTCCAGTTAAAACGTGAGTTTCAGTTGCGGACAGAGCAATTGCCCGGGCAGCAGACGAGACTTCCAGCGGAGCCAACCACAGCGTTCCTCTGGGTTTTATAATGGTAGTGTACAGCTGCGTTACCTCCACTCACTGGAATGTGAGAAAAACGGAAAAACTGACACACACATATAAAAAGGCCGTTGCTAAATAACTACATTCATCTCCTCCATGAGCTCCCAATAAAGTCAACAAATTTCTACTCACATGTGGCAACAACCACAAAGACATGGACATGCTCACGTGGTTCCTATTATTTACTGGGTATAAAACACATTTTATTTGAAGACATCATTACAGCTTAATATACTGTATAGTAAAAATGCACACTATGGACAGAAGCCTCACACATCTCTGTCCCTTTGGACTTCCTTCAATCTGTTTCTTCAAGATAAGCTCTTTAAAGGGTCAGTTCACCCAAAATCACAAGAAAAACAGGTTCCCTCTTAGTCTTTGTGGTATCTAGTCATGCAGATAGTTCTGGCTTTATCTGCCCAGAGTTTGGGGGGAGGCATGTACAACCCCTCTAAACGTCTTGCTATCCAGCTGTCAAAATGTTTAAAATAATAAAAGTGTTGATACAATCACCTGAGTCACTAATTCAATTATTACCACGAACTCTCTGCAAGAAGCAATGGCAGTCACTTTTTTACCTCTCAGGCATCATACAAGCTGACCTATCTTCTTGCTGGACATTGTTGAGGTTGTATGTAACCTGAGAGGAAGGCTTAAGAACTCAGGGCTAAAACAACATCCATCACACCTGCAATTTTTCCGGGGTAAAAGAAAGAAGAAAGAAATTTATCTATGCTTATATTTGCAATTAATATTTTCCCAAATATACTGGAATTGAAAATCAATCAACTATAAAGCAGAAAAGGGTTTGTGTTCTTTGTAGCGAAGATGGAAATATACATTAATTCTTATCAAGACTCCAACAAGGAATCTAAACATGGTTATAGACTTAAGTGCAATAATAATGAAGCAATTTACATTAGAAAGCATAATTATTTTGTGATGCTACCATAATTATGGAAGGCACACACTGATCATAATTTGTTACCTGATAGTTTGAAATAAATATATATAACTGCAGGAAATAACTGTTTCATTTCATTTTTTTTTAGGCTAGTTGAAGAAGTTCTGACGTTATTGTGCTCTCTCAAAACCTTTTTTTTTATTTGGGAGTTCTCCATAAAAAATTTTTAAAAAACAGACTACACTTTAAACAGAAGAGCGCGGTTCAGAGGAAAACAGGCTTCAAACAGTTCAGCTGATTAATTAGTCCTCCTGCATGGGCTTATGGGAGTGGGGGTTAACAGGCCAGCAGGCACGAGTCCGGGTGGAGGGGTAAAGGTCAAGGTTGACAAATTCAGGTCAGGTGATCACAGAGTTAAGACAGATGGTGATTTACCACCGTTAGGCAGCAGGTTCCCTCAGGGACATTGCAGACACCATTGGGGTGCCAGTCAATGCAAGTTAATCAGCAAGGACAAAAGGGAAAACGAGCAACATGTTGAAAATGAAGGAGAGATAGAGGCAAAAAAAATTGGCACATTGGAAAAGGAGGATTGTTTTCTCTTTTTTTTCTCCTTATGGTTGGCTGCTTATAACAATCCTGTAACAACGGCATTTTGTTGTGTCACGTATGGTCATGATTAGGAAAGTATGTGTCAACTTTATAGGAATGGTTACAGGGAAATATTCTTATTCGCTTTCTTGCTGAGAGTTACATAAAACAAATGATACCACTCTCATAGCTCAGACAAGGAGACAGTTAGCTTAGCATAAAGAATGGCTCTCTCTGAAAGGTTAGAAAATACATCTAGTTGCTCAGTAATATATAACAATAATAGTAACATTATACAGTATCTTTGCTTTGGTTTGTTTAATCTGTAGAAAAACCAAAGTGTAAAAACACCCATACGTTGTAGTTTTACAGGGTCTTTTGTGCTTAAACTAATATCTGGTACATAACGAGCCCATGAGTGGTATCGATCTTTTCATTTAACTTTCGGAAAGAAAGCAAACACACTAATTTCCCAAAATATTTTATTATTCCTTTAATCAAAAAAAAATTTTCAAAAGCATATCTGATGTTACTTACTTACATAATCAATCAGATATCTAAACACACACTAGAAGTTCAGATGTGAAGTACACTGCATGGTAATAAATCTATAACTACTTTGCCCAAAACTCTGCCCAAAACTCAAATAAGATCAATTTCCTATTTTCTCTGCTTCCCTCCCCTTTCCCTTCATCCACCCCTCTACCACCTCCACTTCCTTTCTCTTGCAGACAACCAGCTGCTGCCCGACACCTCCATCTGAGCTAGGGACGATCCCCAGAGAGGAAAAGAGGGGACGGAGGTAGACAAGAGGTGGAGGAAGAAGTGCAGGCAGGATGGAGGGAGGGAGTGGATGGATGTGACTAGACGCTCTGGGTCGTAGGTCAGGCTTGCATGTGCCAGAATCCTTTGTGTTCAATCCCCCTCTGTCACCACTACCACTGTTGTTATAACACACACTTATCGCTTCGTTTGAGCTTTGGGGTCCCACACACACACACACACATTTCTAATGGTCTCTGGAGGTCTCTCTCTCTCTCACACACACACACGCACACACACTCCTCTAACGGCCATTGGGGGTCCCAGTCAGACCCCGACACATACACTCATAATGGGGTTTAACCGTAAACATATGCCATAGGGTTTGGGTTTAACAGCAGAGTTGGGGTCAGAGCTCAGGGGAGAGAAAACCTTCCAACCCTCCACACACACACACAGGCCCATGGAAAGAGATAAGCTGTAATCACTCCGTTCTATCACCCTCACTTTCTCCAACCACCCCCACCTGAATTATTCCTCCATCTCTCCCTTTTCCTCTATCCATTTTAAAGTTTTTTTTTCTTTTTTTAGAAAAGTGCTGCCTCAAACACATTTTATGCAATTAAAGAAAAGCGGGTCACAAAACTCAGCCAAGCAGCTGCCATTAGCAAAAAGCAATAATGTAAAACTCTTGAAACACTTGCCGGAAATTTCCATAACACTGCACTTGGATAGTGTTAGTTGCTTTTAAAAAGAAATGGCCTCGTAAACTTGTAGCTGTTTGGTGCACGTGAAAGAGGATTCAGCAGTTTGATAAATAAGAAACAACGTAGTACAGTGAATACATCCTTTATTAAGCATTTAATGTCCTGCTGGAAGGAACTTTGAGAGGAGGACAAAAGGATGTTGAGGATCAAAGTTGTGACAGTAAAGGACGGCCGCTTGTCAATCAATCATGCTACTAATTGGATTCCACCACTCCAATTATTGTCCTTTATTCTTCAAGGAATACCCCATTTTCAGAACGTGCGCGTCTGTGACTTCTTGTTGGCTCCCCGCACACACGAATGGGATAACAAAAATTTATCATACATCGTCTCTTCTAGACTTTCCAAATGTTATGAAAACAAATTCTAATAATAGAAAGATCATTTCTGGGGGAGTATTGACAATCAGAAAAATGTATTCACCGTTCATCGTTTTCCAGAGATGTAGTTTGGGAAATAGGTTTTTTGAGTGTCACATGATAAACGCACCCCGCGACTCAACCCCGGATGAGCCGATGAAGATGGATGGATGATAAACGCATAAGTTGCAACACCCCGAATGGCCACTGCGCCTTATCTTAAGCACAGCTTGGATCCTGGCGGCTTTGGCTGGACTTCACTGACTTCCTAGAGTTTTGGCGAGGAAAACAAGACTCCAGAAAGTCAGAAACCCAGCCAAGAAATAACCCCCCCATAAAACCACAACATGTCATTTTAACACTTTGTACAGATGAAACAAACATATATAAATATAGACATAACAGATATAAAATGGTAATTAGTGAGCTTTGGCGCTGCTGATAGGCATGTTTTGTGTCCTTTGGACAGATAAGACTGGCTAGCTAATGTTTCCCCCTGTTTCCTTCAAACTAAACTATCTCCTTGCTGACAGATATGATGTCAATCTAACACTCAGCAAAAAATGTCAAACTATTCCATTAATTTTTTGTCAGTCTCTGCCTCCTCAAGGGTGTCCAGTCTCTATATCTCTCACCTTCGCTAATTCACTAAATCAGCACACTTATCGTCCACTCCTCTCCCCCGACCCCCCCACTTCTTATCCCTGATAAACTGGGACAGAAGATGCAGAGTGTCTGGCACGAGCCAGTCTGCAGCAGCATGGAGCCCCCTGTACTCTCAGATGTACGCATATAGAGACACTTCACCAAAACATAAATTATGCATTGTGTGAAAATGAATAATGAACGGGAGATAATATACATAGCTGATGCTGGAAGTTGTGCAGGATTAAGCAGCGAGAGATTAATCATTCCAGAGAAGCAATGATTACATTTGACACAATGTTAGTGATGTCATCGTGTTTGCCAACAAACGCACTTATTATGTTTAGTAAAAAAATATATATAATCATTTGAATAATCAGTTTGAGGCTCTGTGAGCTTGACACTGATCATGAATCAGATGCTGTTATGGTGATTACACTATCATTCTCAAATCATAATGATCTCTTAAATCCTCAACATCACTTTAAAAAGTCACGCAAGCTTTGCAAAGAGCTAAAAGTGTTGTTTTAGCATAACAAGAACACAAATGTTCTATATTCTGATTCTGAACAGCACCTCTTGCTTTCCCATTGTGACTACAATGTAAGTAGAGAAAACAAACGTTTTTACGTTCAGTGTTTCTCAACAAAATGCACGGTGAGTTTCCTTATTTTAATTGAATGACAATATAACAACAAACAATATAAATAAGACATCGACCATTTTACATATACACATATGTGACAGCAACAGAAGAGCATAAAACCATGTATGTGCAACTAAATATACACTAATGGATTTCCTGCTTATTTAAAACATTTGCATTCATCTTTAAAAACCTCCGTATTCAAGAATTTGAACTCCGCAATAGGTGCCAACACCTCCAAACAGAGGGTCCTCTGCAAGCAGTTCTAAGTAGATAGTGCACAGTATGAGTCCTTTCCAACAATGAAGTCATCCTGGGAACTTTAAAAAGCAGTACCCTGCTGGACTGGGTATGATGACTACTGACTGCAAATCTAAGAAGGCTACTAATGTCATTTGGTGTTTGCACATGTTTTGGTCTGTGTGACACAGACAGTGACACACAGACAACTGTGGTAGATGCACCCCATTAGTACTACATGTATCTAGATGAGGGGATTTAAGCTCTTCAGAAATCTTCTAGTATAACATGTTACATCATGGGGGGGTTTACATGAAGCAAGAATACTGCAAGAATTTGAGGAGGTGAATCTAACTGCCCAAACAACCTAAGGCAGCTCCATTCTTCTTCTCCGGTTCTCTTCTCAGGGTGGGTTTTGAAAGAGCATGTGTGTATTTGTGTGGTTGTCTGCTGAGTGCCAACAAGTGTCTGGCTGTGTTGAGAGCTGTGGATTAGGAGCTTTTTCTAATTTAGCATCAGTGCATGCACTGCCATCTCACCGTGACATGACCGTGCAATGTAAACATGTAAAACATCAAATGTGAAATCTTTGCATGCAGAGTTGTAGTAATGTGTGACTGTGTTTGACGGAACATTTATTGTCAACAAAAACTTGCTTTAGTGGGATTTAATCCAGAAAGATACACTGACATGGTCTGGGGTCATGGCCTGCAGCAAGGCTGACTTACTTTATGTGGGTTTCTCTTAAAATTTCCCCTGAAGAAGCTTTAATTTTCCAGTTGTCCAGAATCGCATCCCCAGACTTTTAACAATGTACTTGTGTCACTGGTGAAAATGTGAGTTTGAAGACAACTGTGGCCCGTATCACAAAGCAAGTTCAGCACAGTCTGTCTCTCTTTGGGTGACCTGGCTTCACTGAGCCAAACATTGATTATCCTTGATAAAAAGTATCATAAAGTTGGTAATCACATTGCTCAGCTAAGTGGGCATTAAGACCAAAAACAAGCAAGCAAGGTTATCAAGAGGAAAGACTTCATGGGGGGGGGGATCTGTTGGAAATGTAAACAGTGTTTGTTAAACACCTCTGACCCACAAGCTAACAGTCAAGTTTTTATATGATGAGCAAACCCCCCCGTTGTCAATAGAAGAAAAATCATTAGCATCAGTTACGTAGATTAGCAGCTGATTCATTTCTGTCACGTTTGCCTGAGTCCACTGGGCAGTTTTGGTCCCTTAACAAAGTAGACAGAGGTGACAGAGGAGAGCACAGTCTTGTAGATTAATTAGTATTAAGTTAATTAGGGCGTAGCTGGGAAGCCCATTGGGTCGGGACCCTGTTATTGTGTCCACAGGTGATCCATCATGGGAACTGAACCCTTGCTGACAGACTGAGGAAGGCTCACAGCTTTCAGGGCATAGACAAAACGAGCCCTTCGCTCCCATGGTAACCAACCAACAAAAAAAGAGCTAAAAAACGACCCCACAAGAATACTAACAGGGCAAAGACAAAACAGTGAAGACTAAATCCAGTGTTGAACTTGAGTTGGCAAGTTATTAACATGTTACATGATGTCTGAGTATTGAAGCACAATGACAATGTTTCACATCCTTTACTTGATTTCAATGTTCTATACGGCTGAAGTTTTTGAGAGTAAGAAAGGTACTTAACGTGAGATAAAAGAGTTATACTGCATTCTGTTAACCTTGTTGCGCTGGTTGTGGTTAGACTGACAGCATCACAACCAGCACACTTAATGAAATGAATCATGGTCTGGTCTGATTTTCATATGTCCCAACACTCAATTAAGACACCTTATATATTGAATTTCAAAGCTAATAATGAAAAAAACTCTAAAGATATCTTTGATCGATGTAAATATAACTAAAAAACAGCTTTTGTGTTGACTAAACATGACTCCGACGGTACGTATATGTCACTTGCTAGTGATTGGTTTAGGGCAAAACAAAACAGCTTTTCCTTCCCAGCAAGAACCTGACAAACATGAAGATGATGTCAGGTTGGATCAATGAAGTGAAACAAAATGGCAATTCAGTCTTATTATCAGGCTACGTAAAGCAACCCTGGAGGAAAGTTTGTCTACTACTGATTTCTTCATTTTCTGAAAATGTAATGGCAAACACCTAACCCAGTCTCTCACTCACATGTGCGCATGTAAAGTAATATTGTGACAGTGTTGAGGAACAATTGGTTGTACTCTCTTGCAGTCTTCTTCTTGCCCTCAGTTGACACTGGTGCCTTGGTTGAAGGGTAGATGAGAAATCCGATTACTGAACAGCTGCATTTAAACACATTTTACACTAACCTGAATAATCAGCCTGTAAATATGGTCATTTCCTCCCATAATCTGATTTTCCCCAATAATCTGATTACCTTCTGTGCATATGAACACAGTGATCGAAGAACTCTTCTTCTTCCTCTTCCCAAGTACACAACAGTGAACCCTGGATGAGGGGGTGTACAACAGAGGGTGAGATATAATGTCCCGTGGAACCATCACTGTGCCTAACCTACAAAAACAGACAATGTTATCACACCTCCCCAGGCCTCCACTTTAGAAACTTACTATCAGAAGAGGAACTGAGAGGAGGAGTGAGAGGGAGAGAGGGAGAGAGGGAGTGAAAAAACACAAAGAGGAAAGCTCTCTGTGCTGATTGTGCACTTTATCCAGGTCAGCGTCAGAAAAACTAACAGTGGAAGTCTTTCATCGGGTGAATGGACAGATGGAAGATGACTTGATCATTGAAACGTGTGCCAGGGTGTTACTGAGCAACCTACAGCATGCCAAAATTTTTCCAAAAGAAAATTCCAGATAATGTTTTTCATTACAGAACTTAAAAGGGGCGGTATGTAGTTTATAATGAAAGTAATCACTTTTTTAATGGCTATTTGTAAAAAGGTTGTAACCTTAACCATTAGTTGGCTTTCTCAGTTTCCAAAAGCATGTATGTTGTTTTCTGTGTGAAGAAATCAGGTCGGACCTTCCGCAAAATCCATTGGTTTAAGTGTGACGTTCATGCGCACTCATGAGCCTCTGGCTGTGTTCGAAACGGAAGGCAGTTGCCTCGCTGCCTCGCTACTGTAATAGACAGCTGCCTGAGAAGGCATAACTTTCAAGTGAAGGCATCTCTGTTAACAGTTGTCTGGTTTGCCACAGCCTTCTAGGGCAGCACTTACGATAACGCCTGACGTCAGCACGTCGTCTTGCGTCTCTTCTGGCTGTCAGAAGACACGTTAGCCTTAGCATCAGCTAACTACCTAAATGGCTAACAGACGCCCCCGAAATTGGTTACAGTCACGGGCTATTATGATAGTTCAGTGTTTAGTTCTCGCTAGCTTTTGAAAAAGCGAGAAAACTACTAAAATCTTTTTTAAAAGTATATTTGTATACGAATTCGGCTTGTTTGTCCAACTTGTCCAACTGCCGTAGATGCGCTGGTTTATGAGTAATAGGCAGCATCAAGTCACTATCGATGCTGCCTTCAAAACCGGCCGTTACGCAGTGTGTAGGCATCTTACAAGACAGAAAGAGATCATTCGAGCCATTTGGAACAGCACTTTATGCTTCGCTGTGCGTTTCAAACACAGCCACTTACCTACTGATTCTGCACAACACTGCAACTAACAAAATGGAAACCCATCAGGCCAAACGAGAATAAGGTCAACATCGGGCAAAACCACACGCGATTCATGAGGACCAATAGAACCCGTCGTCGTGGTCGTGGACCAGCTGTTAAACCTTGCAAGGACACTGCAGGGGTCATGGGAGTTTGCCCATCTAGTCTATATGTGTTTGATGTGAAGGTTTATGACCCTGTGTCCCCTGTGTTATCTTGCGCTGTGGATGCGGGGAGTGCCGGGGCTGTTATTATTTGGACCATTTTGTCTTTGTACAACTGGAGTGAGAGGTGTGACTGCATTCCTGGCAGAAGGTCAACTGCACTTGGGTTGTGCCGTGTCACCGATTCTGTTTGTGATTTTAAATGACAGAATCTCCCAGAGAGTCTAGTGTCACGATCCTGTCCTGAGCTTGTCTGGGTTATATTATTTTGGCCATGCCTTCTCTGTGTTTTGATTTGGGGTTCTCTGTGTCTGGGTTTCAGTCATGTCAGTCTGTGGTCTTGTATCCAGTCTTCTGCTTGTTCTGTGTGGTGGTTCTGATCTGTCCTGTTATCTTGGTGTCTGCCTTTAGTCCTTGTTTAGTTCTGTTCCTGTCCCTCTTGTGTTAGATCTCTACCATCATGCTTGGGTTCTGTCTGTTTGTTAGGTGTCAATTTATCTGTTTCATTAATTATCTGATTTTGATCATTTTGCTTTAGTCTCTGTGTAGCCTTCATTATTTCATTCATCCGCATCTTTAAGTTAGTTCGTATCTGCCTTGTCTAGTATCCTAGTTCCTAGTTTGTGTATTTAGTTCTTAGTCCTGTACCTTAGTTCATGTCTTTAGTGTTTACTCCTGGTCTGTGTACTTCTGTGTTGTTTTGCCCATGTCTGCTCTGAGTTTTGTTTTATCTTTGCTTCAGTCTGTGTTCCTTGTTATTAGTGTACTCTAGTACAAGTGAAGGAGTTCAAGTGTCATGGGGTCTTGCACATGCAATTTCATGGGAAGTCAATGGAAAGACGCATTTACACTAATGTCCACACAGAGCGTATTGAAGTGACGTGTAGACACATCCGCATGATTTGAAATTGTCTTGACTTGTGCTCCAGGCGTGCGACCTCTGACATAAATAGAAATTGTAAGTCGCTTTGGATAAAAGCGCCAGCAAAATGAATACATGTCATGAAAAATTTGCATGAATCCCGTGGCTTTATGAATCTACCACATAAACGCACAGAGACGGGATGAAAAAGGAAAGAAACTAGAGGGAAGTAACAGAAAGAACTGGAGCTCTGAGTTCAATCAGAGGCTGAGCTAAATGGAAATGCATCGGCACATTCCCAAAGACACGATCAGTCCATCTGTTGCTAGCTAGCTTACAGTTAACATCTGTACAGTTGGTACATTGGCTATTTTAAGTTTGAAGGGAGTCATTTAAGGTGGTTCGGGCATCTGATTAGGATGCCTCCTGGATCCCTTTCTGAATCAGAAACAGAATCACCATTAATCGGTAGGTATGTGTAAACATACAAGGACTTTGACTCCGGTTTTACATTATTCTCAGGGTGCATAAACAAAAAGTCTCATACACACAATCATAAACAAAAAAAAACAACATTTGTAGACAGCTAGACAATAGTGTAGTGAAATAGTATAAAGGATGCTTGAATAAATAAATATTTTTGTGCAGTTTTGTGCATTATGTAAAATCATATGTATATTATGCAATATTATTATGTACATAAGGATAGTGTATAAATAATAGTGTGTGGAGGTATTCTAACCACGTCCAACACCCAGAACACGCCTGGAAACACCTCTGGATCTCTCAGGTACAGCTAGAGGATATGGCTATAGGAAGAAGGATGTATGATGATATAGATGATACATGGAATTAAGCATGCTGAAATGAAGACTATGCTGCATGCACTGCCGTAAATGATCAAATAATGAAATGTAGGTTGTATGTTTGGCCACTTCCCAGTCCCTTTCATCCTAAGTCATGCATCAGCGTTCTCTTTGAGGGCATGCCAATAAGCGGCGAGGGCCCACCAATCCAACACAAAGCAGGACAGCACAATATTGCAGGAGCGATTGGGAAGAGCAATAATGAGGAAGATGGAAGAAGAGGAGGAGGCGCAACATCGATAGCATGGGAGTGAGGGGAGTATGACCCAGTTACACATAATGCCTCAGGGGTGGCAGCGGGAAAAGACAATCATGCAAACTCACATGCCGACACACACTCGGACGTATTCTGCCAAGGTGTAGGCAAGTTTTACAGGAAGGACACGGCCAAATACAACAAGCCCGGACATGCTGAGGTTAGTCAGTGACAGACAGAGCCAGGCACGAGTCTGAGGCTTTCACACATGTCGAGCACGAGGCCAAGCAGTGACAGAAAGCTCTGAGGCCACACACCATCAGACTGGGTTTTTGCTTTACCGTGACCTACATACAACACGTTAGAGGAATTATGGGTTTGTTGCAGACGCACTCTCGTGACCGACGAGCAGACGACCAGTCCTGTCTCCCTCTGTTTCTCTGCTCTGAGGTTTCCCCCTCAGCTGAGTAAGCTGTAGCACTGTTATGTATGCTGTGTATATGAAAAGATGAAAGGGAAACTTGAGAGAGAAAAAACACAGCGGAATCACAAGAAGCAAGTCACCCTCAGAATCCCTTTCCTGCAGGGTAAACTGAATTGAATTCATTAAGACGATGTGACGAAGCGTTCATCTCGACTAATGGAGATGACAAAGCACTCTCCCTGACACTTGTCTCCCATCAGTACCAAGAGGCATCAGTGTCACTGTCAGCATGCGGTGGGCTGAATCTGTCTTTTGTCAGGGTGTCAGATGGGAAACATGTTTGAGTAGGCCGCTGAGAGATCTGCCGTTAGGGCTGTTCTAAGGAGGCTTATTGCTGTATGTGTGTCGTTTGGTTAATGTGCCAGATTGACTGCAAGCTGACACTCAGAGGGCCGATTCTCTCCTTTCAATCCTCATTTCTGCGGCTTTATTGTTATCAAAAGGGACAATGGGTGAGCACTGAACAAAAGGGGAAGAGGAGAGATGACGGATGGCAAACGTTTCCTCAAGAGAGATGAAGAAACATCTCCAATTCTAATGGGACAGGAGAGGGCGGCTGGGGGGCGAAGTGGGGTGAAACCCTGCAGGCGTTAAAGGACAAAGCGTGCGTGGATGAGGAGGGGAGAAGGGGGTAGATTTTGGGTTATTTGCACCGTCATGGCCCTCACCTAATTTCCATAAATGAATCAGGGACGCGTGCCCTACTGTGTTTGTGTTGTACTGGCAGCTGCTGTCTTGTTTGACAAAAGCAATGTGTTCGCTACATGTCAGCGAGTGAGTAGCTTCAGCACAATTATTTAAATGCATTTTTTTAATTTATTTATTTCAATCATTGAATCATCTGTGAGCTTGCGTTGGATGTACTTCTGGAAAATCTGCTGCACACCAATCACGTTTGTGTTTCTTTGCTTCAAATGCTTTTTCAGAAATGAAAACTGAAACCCAGCTGGTTGGCTCCTTCATGATATTTACAGACAAACGGCTCTCACATGAAGTTGGAGCGCTCCCTGACGCATCTGTGTTAGCCATTAAATCAGAAAAACAGGACAGGCAACGAGGTTCAAGGAAACATTTCAAGTATTTTTGAGTATCATTAGTTCATGGATTGTCAAACAATAACATCTTAAGCCTCAACTGTCCAGCAAGAAGTTATTTATTTTAAAACATAATTGAAGCAATTACATATATTTCCACTCTGAAACCGCTGTGCAAATGGTTAAAGCCTACTTCAAATATCAGATATACTGTAGGACTGAAAGACCCATTTGATCTTTTAGGCAACATATTCAAAACGTTTGTCCAGTTATAAATTCTGTGGTAGTTAAGCAGTGCGGAAACACACAAACTAAATGCAGGTAATTACTCTGCATGCTTGGAAATTGGTAAGAGGCTGAAAAGAATGTGCAAATGTTCCACCCCAGTGAAATATGACCTGGCCCAGTTCCAGCAAGATAAACGGTTGGCTTCGTTTACATTTCAACTGACAAATACATTTCTGTTTGGTTTTCTGAAACACTTCCTTTTTCAAAAACTGCATGAAAGATTTTCTGTCTGCTACTGCCTAAAAACTTTGTATGGTGCTGCCATCTAGTGGTCATATATGATGTTTCCAATTAAAGCGATGGATTGATGGTAAAGGGTCAGTCCATAGTTTCAAGTTTACCCCTAGCAGTATGTAGCTATGCTGACAGTTTTCTTTTATGTGTCCACGTTTTTTTAGATTCTGCAAATGTCCATCTCCAGCCCAACACAATAGATGTGAATCGAATTTATTTTTGCAGTATTGAAATAGCATTTTTATAAAAAAGTGACACATTGTACCTGTAACGCAGGATAATTCACAAACTATCAACAGTTTTCAGGTAGCAGAGTCAAGTTGAATCAAGTTTATTGCCAAGTAACTTTTCACAGACATGGAATTTGCCTAAGTTGGTGCAATAAACATAGTAAGAGAAAATAAGAAAACAAAAAGCTAGTATTGCAAAAGTTAAGAAAGTTAAAATAAATAAAATAAAAAAAGTTTATAATGAAAAGTACTGTACAGACCAATACCACATTGTAAAATTACATTCAAAATCAGCACCCCTTCTTCTCTGATGCTTGTATTATTTCAGTTATAAAATAAGAATAAACAATAGTTCCTAAAATAAGAATAAATGACCGTTCCTAAATAAGAGGTCAGTTCCACCCCATTTCTCACAGTGGCTGGAGAGGCCTGTTATTTTGCTTGTCAAAATTAATACATATCACATATATTACCCAAAAAAGAAACAATGATCATAGAAGCTATTACATGGACGTAGTCCATAGAAAAAGCAGAAAATAATAACTTCCCCAAAAGGTATTAAATGACGAAAGCATTGCTGTGTAAAATCTGACTCTGCAGTGCAACTAATAACTAGCTGTAAGATAAATGAAGTGGTGGAATATGTGCCTCTGAGATGAGTTGAAACAAACAGTTGCATAGTTCAATAAATGTGCTTCAGTTACGTTCCACCACTGCAGTTTAAGAAACACTAAAGCACAACTGTAAGACAAGCACTATCTGCTCAGATAAAGCATAAAGAATTTCAAAGGGGATAATAATTTATGAGCACTAGCCCGTTCCTGCCAAATTACATTGTCACTCTGAATGGACTTTGGCCTGTGTTGGTGCAGGAAAGCAAGGTGAATGTGCAGACTGTGAACCCAGGCAGGGTTAGTGAGCTATAACACATATTCTTAGGGTTATATAACTCAACATCAGTGTTGAACAATCACACAAAAGTTCCTGACTGACAACATGATACCAGACGGCTGCTGTGGTCTGCTACTTTACATTCCCCTCTCGTATCCAATAATACACGCTTAATACTGAGAACACGTTTTAAGCAGAAAATGTAACTGTAAGACCGTGGGTTGGTCTTTTAAACTCACAAAGACAATATAATAAAGAGTCAAAGAACATTTCTTTGAGTTTGTAGAGTTTAGTCATGACCACAGAGTTGCCGATTTAAGTAATAGTTTATATATAATTAATATAAAAAGTTTAATACTATCTAAGCTGTGTTTAGTGTTTAGGGAAGCTCACACAGCCAAGCAGTGTGGGGTTACTATGAACCAGTCTGTCCTTATTTGACCCCTGTGACTCTCCTTCCCTTCTCCTCCTGTGCTGATTGTTGGCTGCCTTGAGCACCATGTACCACCCAGAGGCACCCTGCCCCTGGGCTCACCGCCAGCAAGAACAATTGGTTGCCGCCAACCTGCACTTGTGGAGGCGTTAGCGTGAAATGTCACAACTTATCTGTGTCTGTCTTTGTTTACTTTCTTAGCTGCACAAAGCTCTGTCTACACATACGCACTCTCTCCCATTTCCTGCCTGCTGTAAAATATAGCCCTCTACGTGTCCTCATGTAACCTCACTTAAAGCAAACCCATCGTGTCCCTGCTGTGTGCACTAGAGCTGTGATGCGAGCGTGGAGGAGAGTGACTGAATGAGAGGGAAAGAAGAGAAAGTTTTTCTGTGCTGTCTCAGTGATCTGCAGCTGAACTCAACCCACCAGCTCTTTCTGACTTGACCAGACCTATCACATGCTTTGTTGGATTGTTTACTTGCAATGGTCTGGTCTCTCTCTCCCAAGCTCCCTCCCTCTCCCTCTCTCTCTTCTTCCCATCCACTCTCTCTTACCCGCCCACCAGTTGATTCCTGCGTAGTGTTATGTGGTGATAAGAGCAGGGAAGAAAGGAAGGCCTAAGCAGCCCTTTTCTTTTTCGATTTGGTCTTTTGCTGTTGCATCTTCTAATCGGGCAGTTTCACTCTCTTGCAACTACCGTGAGTATCTGCCTTTGCTGCATCAATTAAACAGACTATAATGGTGTTTAGCAAGGAGTGTTTGAGGGGATGACGGCGGGATAGACTCCCCCCCCTCCCTTCCCTCAACCTCACACAGCTAGGGAGCGTGGCGGACGTGCAGAAAAGATAGTAAACCATGACACAGTTTGAACTGAGAGATTTCTAGAACTGCATAAATGTGCAGCAGCTGTGTTGGTACAGGAAGCAAAAAATGTTCGAGAGACAGAATGAAGCATGTCGCTGCTTCTATATTCATACCAAAATAAAAACATTATCTAGTGCTAAAAAAGATTGCTCCATATAATTGCGTGCCATTTGGGACCATGCAGGGACTGCTGTTTCTTTACAATGTTTAAAAAAGTATGCAACATAAATGCTGAATGATTTGTCGTTTTTGAAGGCAAACATTGCTTCTTCCAATAAAAAAAATGACAGAGCAAAGAGTGTGGCTTAAAAACAGTCACGTATTTTACTTTAAATATGTGTCGGTGAAACCTGTTAAACTTCTCTGTTTAGTTCTTTCCCTCTCAGAAGGTCACACTGTACTCTTAAATTGACTAACTGCCAATTTCCGCCATTTTCATTGGCTGTGTATGAGTGTGTGTGTGTTTGTAGAATGCGCCACAGAATGACATGTTGAAAGGACACATAAGAAATATGAGAGAAACTCCATAATTTAAACATTATTCCTCATTTCTTATTAACTTGAAATCACAGACTGGGAACATGAACAGCTCTCTCCAAAATCAATGTGAGGTTAAAGTTCTGTATGCTCTGTTATTATGGTCTCATCTGATCTCACTGACACTCAAATTCATATGGTACTTTCGCATATAAGGCATAATTTTGCTTTAACATCTAAAAGTGCTTAATTTAACAGTAATGCCTCTATCATCAGACAGATCATCTGTCTGCAACCCTGCAAAAACCACCGTGTAGCTATCACTGTCACCTAAAGCCTTGGTGCATCAATAACAGAGCTGCATTATATTGTGTATAATTTATTTTGGCAGGTCACAAATTTGAATTATATTATAGTTGCTGCTTTTTCATGTTATGTACACTGTAGTGTGTTTAAAAGTAAAAGCTAATGAGGTGGCCAGACTGGCAAAGAAGGGATTTGGCACTCACCCAGGCCACCTTTATAAAGCTTTTAATAAGATCTTCCGATTCACTGTTGTGAACAACAACACACAGAGAGATAAGCACGTCCACAACGTGCAGATTTATGTGTGAACAATAGTTAAAAAATAACCTAAATATCATATTTGTGCCTTAATGAGATGTTGGTTGTAGTTTCTGTTCTTATACGAGTCGTAAATACAACTTGTTGTTCATTCCACTGCTTTTGTCCTGTTTATACAGTGGGGAGAACAAGTATTTGATACACTGCTGATTTTGCAGGTTTTCCTACTTACAAAGCATGTAGAGGTCTGTAATTTTTATCATAGGTACACTTCAACTGTGAGAGACTGAATCTAAAACAAATCCAGAAAGTCAACGTATGATATTTAAATAATTAATTTGCATTTTATTGCATGACAGAAGTATTTGATACATCAGAAAAGCAGAACTTAATATTTATATTCTCCAGATCCTTCAGGTTTCGGGGCTGTCGCTGGGCAATACGGACTTTCAGCTCCCTCCAAAGATTTTCTATTGGGTTCAGGTCTGGAGACTGGCTAGGCCACTCCTTAGTTGCCCTGGCTGTGTGTTTTGGGTCGTCGTCATGCTGGAAGACCCAGCCACGACCCATCTTCAATGCTCTTACTGAGGGAAGGAGGTTGTTGGCCAAGATCTCGCGAGACATGGTCCCATCCATCCTCCCCTCAATATGGTGCAGTCGTCCTGTCCCCTTTGCAGAAAAGCATCCCCAAAGAATGATGTTTCCACCTCCATGCTTCACGGTTGGGATGGTGTTCTTTGGGTTGTACTCATCCTTCTTCTTCCTCCAAACACGGCGAGTGGAGTTTAGACCATAAAGCTCTATTGTTGTCTCATCAGACCACATGACTTTCTCCCATTCCTCCTCTGGATCATCCAGATGGTCATTGGGAAACTTCAGACGGGCCTGGATATGCGCTGGCTTGAGCAGGGGGACCTTGCGTGCGCTGCAGGATTTTAATCTATGAGTGTGTTACTAATGGTTTTCTTTGAGACTGTGGTCCCAGCTCTCTTCAGGTCATTGACCAGGTCCTGCCGTGTAGTTCTGGGCTGATCCCTGACCTTCATCATGATCATTGATGCCCCACAAGGTGAGATCTTGCATGGAGCCCCAGACAGAGGGAGACTGACCGTCATCTTGAACTTCTTCCGTTTTCTAATAATTGCGCCAAAAAGTTGCTGCCTTCTCACCAAGCTGCTTGCCTATTGTCCTGTAGCCCATCCCAGCCTTGTGCAGGTCTACAGTTTTATCCCTGATGTCCTTACACAGCTCTCTGCTCTTGACCATTGTGGAGAGGTTGGAGTCTGTTTGAGTGTGTGGACAGGTGTCTTTTATACAGGTAACAAGTTCAAACAGGTGCAGTTAATACAGGTAATGAGTGGAGAACAGGAGGGCTTCTTAAAGAAGAACTAACAGGTCTGTGAGAGCCCGAATTCTTACTGGTTGGTAGGTGATCAAATACTTATGTCATGCAATAAAATGCAAATTAATTATTTAGAAACCATACAATGTGATTTTCTGGATTTTTGTTTTAGATTCCGCCTCTCACAGTTGAAGTGTACCTATGATAAAAATTACAGACCTCTACATGCTTTGTAAGTAGGAAAACCTGCAAAATCAGCAGTGTATCAAATACTTGTTCTCCCCACTGTAATACAATTTTCTTTGTAACTAAATAATACTGTATGTTTTTATTGTCCAAAGTTAGCTGTTGTACATGTAAACAAAACTATTAGTCAGAGACCAAGGGCGTCACTTTGTGTTGAAAAGTCTTGGGGACATAAAGGCTCAGATTAGGGGCGTGATGATAAGAGTGTGTCATGAGACTTTTTAACAGCATTTTGAAGATTGAAATATATGAGTGGGGGGTCTAGGGTCCCTCCCCCAGACGATTTTGAGCATTAAACACTTTTTTCAACTCCAATTTATGGTGGAAATGTCTTTTTTTATTTAAAGAGAATCAAAATCTTCAGCTGGCAGGTGACACTACATAAATATAAAAATATAACAGATTATAATGCAGTAATGAGCTGCTTGTTCTTTTTATGAGCTTAAGTTATTTTTGTTTTGACAATTCCCATTTGTTTCTTCTATATTTAAAGCGCATTGCATGTTTTCTTATTGTGCAAATAAACCTTTTTTAAAGCATTTTCATTTGTTAGTTTACATTACTTGGTGCAAGCTATTTTATGAGAACATTTTTAACAAATGGTTTTAAAGAGTGATGGGGACATGTCCACAGCGTCCACAGTGTAAATGACACCTATGTCAGAGCTGGTGAAAAAGTGTAAAATAGCCTACTTTGAACATATGTTTATTATATAATAATGTGTTTTATTTATAAAAACAAAGGCTCCTTAAATTGTTCATCTTAAATGACAGTTTACAAAGTGGGGTTCATATCATGCCAGAATGTACAAGCTACAATTTTACTTTTTAAAAGCATTTCCAACTGCACCTGAAGGCAGCATTAGTGCCAGCTGCACTAGTTGCAGAAGCTGATTAATTAGCCAAAAAAGGGTCATCCCTCTTCTATCACTCCAAAAAAAGGCTATTGAAGCATCTTACCCTGGTTGTTTCAAGCCAATTTCTGCGTTTATTGTTGCATTAAATCGTGTTTGTTAAACTCAGACGGTAACTACTGATAATTGGCCATATCAGTTTGGAAGCTTTTTACCTGCAGGTATTTTAAAGCAATGCCCGTCCTGTTAAAAGTATGTAATTACCTGTACATGTCTGTCACTGCCGACCTGTTTTCAGATGCTCCACCTGACTGCAGGCCGCGTGGGAAGCCTCATGGCCCGGCGCGCGACACTGGCCTTGACCACCAGCAGCGCGAGGATGGCGAGCCACGGTCACGGTACCATGAATGTGTTTTTTTTCTCCCCCACATCTTTCTGCCTCAGAAGTAGACCCGTGTAAGCTCCTCGCTTAGGAAAGTCAGTCTGGATAAAGTGAAGGAAGGAGGGGTCGGATGTGTTTTTCAAATGTCTCCCTCCATAAGGTACCGGCTCGAAGTTGACTAATGGCTGGTGTTGTACAGGTTTGTGTATCGGCCCCTTTTTAACATACTTTATTAATCCACCAGTGTCACAAGTTGCTGCAACACCTGTAGGCTATATGTATCCAAAAAGCTTACCTGCAGAGTGTTAATGTGGATGTTTGCTGGTATAAAGCTGGAGAACGCAGCACAGATTGACGTGGTAGGTGTTAAAATTGTATGAACCTTTTTTTTTATGTTCAGAAGGTCTGTGTACCAGAACAGGAGGCCTCTGTCTGAAGTGGCCTAAAACCAGCAGAGGGCGCTGTTGTGCTAGACATCCATTATAGACTGATGGTCCTTAGGACTTTAGTTTGATCGTATGTAGGACTCACCAGAGAAAATGTTACTGTTTTCTAAGCCAGCGTTATAAAAATGTCTCTTGACTGAACATTGTTGGAGCAGTGATCCAAAGGTGACCCGTCCTGTGTCTGTCCATCCAGAGGTGGCAGAGTCAGTGGACATGTCTCAGCCAATGTACTGGGACCGCCGGGACACCCCTCTGCCTGACAAACGCTACAAAGATGTGCTGACTGGTGCCGACGAGAGCCTGAAACAGAAGGAGAAAGGACCCTGGAGCCAGCTGACCAAAGAGGAGAAGATTGCCTGTAGGGGCTTCTTTACTCACAGGCTGAGGCGGCTCGCACTACAGCCAAACCCACACGTCACTACACGTTTAACATCACATGAATATAATACACTCAGTCCACACTTCGTTTAAAAGCACAGGGTAACCACTGGTGCAAAGTACCAAGTACATTAGTAACTTACAGTACTGTTGCTTTGCAGAACATAATGAATTGTTATACAGTAAATGAAGTAGCTAGAATACTACATGTTACACATTATTGCTTCAGTAACAATCAAATATTAGAGGGTACTTTCACTTTTTATACAAAAAGTACATTTGGCTGATAGTACTTTTGTCTCGCATTGACAAAAACTATAATGCAGTGTGTAATCTAATAATAAATCTTTTGTGATCACGTTTTGTAGAATGAACTAAAGAAGGGGAGCAATAATGCGCCCATTGTTTGAACCTTTCAAAGCAAATTTACAAAGACTTATTTGTCATTTTGTCTTCATTTGATAATGATGGTAGAGATTCAGACAGGGGACCTGTAGAGAAATGGTATGACATGAAACAAAGGTCCCTGGCCAGCCGAGGACATTGTGAGGACTATTCCAATTTTGTCACTACCTCTGGTTTCACTCAGTATGTGTGAAGTAATCATGCTTGCCTATCAACGATTGTGACACAATACAATATGAGAAATATGATATTGCTTTAATGACACACTTCCCCAATTTCTCTTTACCACTGTCTCTCCCATCTCTCCTGTCCTTCACTTCTCCTCTCCCACCCTGCAGTGTACCGGCTGACGTTCTGTCAGACCTTCCCAGAGATGAAGCAGCAGACAGGAGAGTGGAAGACTGTCCTCGGGGGTATCTTCATCTTTCTGGGCTTCACTGGCCTGGTGGTCTGGTGGCAGACAGTCTACGGTAAATCTGCCCTTAGATTCTTTTCTCTTTCAAATTTGACAATGCAAGTGGCTAAGAACAGGAAACCTGACGTCGCACACCTGGTGCCACTGTCTCTTCGCTGTCACAGAGCCTTTTCACAGCAGACGTTTTGACTTGTCAAAGCAGAAAAAGCCCAGCTGTAACTAACAGCATTAGCGGTGGCTCTGTTCCTTTTAAGTATCCCAGTAAGCCGCACCAGTTAACCAGCCTGCACCACACCAGACCCTGGAACTGACTCATCTAAATAGACTTAAGCCTTTTTAATGATGATGAGTTACAGCAGTGTTAAACAGGTCAAAGTGTCCACCAAATACCAGAATAAAAGACAAATCGTTCATCAGCATTTTCTTTATATATTCACTGCACTAGAGTTCCCTGAAGTGCTACTTGCTGTCTGTCTCTCGTCCTTGTTTGCTCTAGTCTACCCTGAGCGCCCCAGGACCTTTGACGATGACTGGCAGGCCAAACAGCTAAAGAGGATGTTAGACATGAGGGTGAACCCCGTCCATGGCTTCGCAGCCAAGTGGGATTATGAGAAGGGCCAGTGGAAGTGAAGACCCGACTGGACTGTGGCAGAGGTGGGGGCAGAGTCCGGACCTTTTCCACTCTCTGAAGCTGCTGTTGAAGTCAGTCTCAATTTGAATGTCGCATTATAACTTTCATAACCACTGAAAAAATGGAGCTTATTCACTGTCAACATCTCTGGGATCATTTTACTCTGTGCCACCTCTGGCTGTCAGTCAGTAGCCTTGTGTCATGGTGATGACCATGTCCGTGCTGATGTAACCATATTATTATAATATTAATAAAAGTTGCTTATGTCTCAGTCCGACTCTTTTATTGTCTGGATTAAGCTCTGCTGAACTGCTACTCTGTATGCTTCTTTGTGAATGAAGCCAGCGAGGCTGTGCATTGAGTAAACCTCACCTTAAGAGACGCATTGGCGACCGACGCTAGTGGGTTTTTGCTTCCTCGTTAGCATCGCTGGTTTGTCAGGACCGTGCGGCCGATTACATTTGGTGCCATGTTCATATTTGTTCAAATGCAAAACAATGCACAAAAAGTACATTAATGCCTTTTTTGTACTGCAGTTAGGTACAATTCTGAGGTACTCTTCTTGGGTATTTCCATTTCATTCTACTTTATACTTCTCCTTGACTACAGGGGAATATTGTGCTTTTACTCCACTACATGTATTTGACTGTTATTTGCAGGTTGATTACAGCTGCCTCTCAAGTGGGTATGGAATATTTGAAACTGTTTTCAATGCAACATGTTTATTTAAGTATTATGGAATCAGGTTTCATTTTTCACAATTGTACTACACACATCGGCCTCACTGTTCATGTTTGAATATAAACTTTTTTTTTAAAACAAGTTAAGCTGAAATATGTTAACTGTATTTTTTTTTGTTTGTTTTTTTTTAAGTGTGTGTGTGTGTGTGTGTGTGTGTGTATATATATGTATGGATGTTCGCTTGCTTGCTTGCTCGCTCACTCACTCAACTATAGAAAGACAGAGCTTTTATATGATCGGACATTTTGCAGATTAAACATTTGATTCTGCATATTGTGTAAGTTTATTTTTGATCCAGTACATTTTCCTGATAATACTCGTTTTTACTATGATTTTGAATGCAGGACTTTAACTTGAAATGAAGTATTTTATAAGTTTTAACATTGCTTCTATGACTTTGGTAAAAGGTTCTAAGTACTTCAGCTACTGTATTTAAACCCCAACTACCAGGAGGTGCATTAAAAAAAGTAGGCCTACTGAAACAACAAATATTTAGAAAAAACACACAAAGCCGCAAAATCATGTCATAATTAAACATTAGAAACGAGCAACTTGGTTTCAAAGTAACTAAAGGCTAGTTTTAAATAATCCAACAGAGGTTTTGTATTTATTGTGACAGCTTTTTTTTCCCCAATCAAAAGGAATGATTTTCCTGTTTCCATAGAAACCGTGAACAGAGAGGCAAAGCTGATTAACTAACAAATAACACTGAGATTTGTCTCAATGTTTCAAATAAACTGGGTTATCAAAATGAATGATTTAGCATCAGCATATTTGGATCCTCATTGTGAGCATGTTAGCACTACGGCACAGAGCTGCTAGCTAACCATTATCTTATTAAACAGTAGACAATATTGTATAATATACGTATAACTCACAGCAGTGCTTTTTTATCTGTGTTTCCTCTTCACATTAGTTGTAATGGTTAACCTTTCTTCACAGCTGAGCAGTCATTTTGGGCATAAAATTTACTTTCTTCTGGCTGATTTCTTCTTCAGGAAGTATCTTGTCTTAATGGGCAACTCTTCATGCATGAATGCTTTAACACACCCACCTACTACTTTGAAAAAAGACAGACAGACTCAGTACATCCTCCAACATGGGCTTTATTAGGTTCAGTGTCATTTAAAACTTTACAGTAGCATTCAAGACGTACAGACCTCTGGATATGGTTGCAATCTTTTGTTCTGTACTCTTTATGACCAACAAGAATGAATCAGAAACCTACATTTTTGAAAATATCCTTGTCAAGTGGCAGTCCAATAATCCTAAAGAAATCACAAATGACAATGCAAAAACGGAGTTTAAGGCCATTTGAAGGGGCGCAATTATGCTTTTTACACCAAATATAAATAATGTTTAAAAGCCATCAGTTCTGTTTTTCTTAAATATGTTACTACGCTAACAAACTATTCTAATCAGTTTAAATAACTAGCATATATATATATATAGGGTCGTGCCAATGCTGTCAAACTTCCTTAATTTGTGCCTCCAACAACATTTTGCCACACAGAAATTCACATGCATGCACACACACACACACACACACACACACACACGCACACACGCACACACACACGTGTAGGAAGGGAACTTGTTTCAGTGAGGGCCAGGGCAGCGAAGAAAAGCCTGCGAGCAGCTTCTTGGTGGGGCGCTAGAAAAATATATATACTGTACTGGAATGTATGAGAGCAGACCTTGGCTGATAAGATGCTCGGGACTCAAGCATTTAGAGGATGAGACTCATCAGTAGTCTATGCCGTTCTTTTCATTTGGTGAACTGTTTGTTCCAAGGATAACAATCAGGACTTTAGAAAGAGAAATCCATGTATGTAAATGTTTGTATGAGGATGAAAAGGAGCATCGATGAAAAGAGATGAGCCCTGCTTTAAAGATGACCCTGGCTACATAGTGATGAATGTTTCACGTGTAAATCCAGATTGTGTTTTTTTGTTTGTTTGTTTTACAGTCCCTTCCTTTAATGTTTCCTCTTGTGCTGAACTTTCTTTGATGAGAAAATGGCACCTGCCCGTCCTGCACCAGAGTTGTGTTGTGCTTTATTGTGCTGCAAACACACATGAATACAACCGAGGAAATGTTGTTGTTAGCTGTACACAGTATTTAGAATAGGATCAACATTAAAGCGCTGGAAACAGGGAAGAGTACCCCCCCCCCCCCCCCCAACCCCCAAACCGTCCCTCCCTTCCCAGTAAATTAATCGAGCTGCCAGTTGTTGGTGCGTGAAACTCCTCCGACTTCAACCTTTAAATTAAAGATGGAAAGATGTTTAGAAACAAAGACAAGTCTCCTTCTCCCTGTCTCTTGTGGACTACATGTGACTGGCAGGTGTGTACGTTGCAAGCGTGCGTGCATGCCGAGGTGTGTTTGTGTGGAGCAGCAGGTGGGCCAGCTGTAACTGACACACGTGACTAGGCGTGGTGACAGCCAAGGGGGCCGCAGAGGAAGAGGTGGAGCTGTGTGGAGAGGGAAGGAGAAGGAGAGACGGATGGAGATTTGACAGATTTGAGGTGTCTGGGGAGGACGGAGGAGGAGAGGCGTGAGTGTGAAAGCAATGCATGGATAATTTGGAGTGAGTGTGTGTGAGATAAGCTATGAAGGTTTGGGTGTCTAGTTTCACGGTCCTACAGCCAATGACAGTTGCTGATTCGCTTAAGACGGTAAACAGACACATAATGACACCTTTCTAATCAAATCTAACTCAAATCACATTCGATGCAGAACTGCACTGCCTCCTCAAAGACAGCAGCTTCATCTGTTTGCTACATAAATCTTCAAAAGGCAATGATGTTCACTCTATGTTCACATTACTGTGTCACTGACAAATGTAAATTTGGATGATTATTGAATTAGTAGTCTGATCATTGTTGCACATGATTAAGATTTTATTGCAAATCAATCACAACGGCTTTGTTTTAACCCACCTATTGAGCAGTAATAATAAACTATGCCTGAAACTAAAGTCACAGTTTCCTAGCATCCAAAGTGAAGTCTTCAAATGTCTTATTTTGTCCGACCAAAAAACCAAAACCCAAATATATAATTAAAAATTATATGACACAGGTGAAAATGGTATTTGTCGTATTTGCTTGTATATTACTCGATTCTCAAAAGTGTTGCCGTTGACTTATCAATGAATTAACTGATTGATCGCTCTATAACAATAAATTGTTTGTAACACACTATAATGTAGTTATAAACCAATATGAGGATATTTCAGGTGTATATTAATGTATTTTTTCCAACAGTTAGAAATTATAACTTAGCATCTATAAATTAAGTATGAGCCAATAATGAATGAACAATATAATACTGGCTGGATCATTAAATCACATATATTGAAATGTTAGTGTATATGCTATATCAGCTGAAGTAGTTATATATTAAGTCAACCTGACATAAAGCATTTATTTAATATATTTCTTAACTAAGCCTTTATTATGATTTATATTTTTCTATTCATTTGTGTACAAATGCATCTTCTTCACTGTCCATGATAACTGAACTCTGCTTGCTGATGAAGGCCATGAGATGCCTGGAGTGAAGAATTTAACATTCCTGTGGTCAACAATCAGCCTTCACGCTCACCACGTCTTCATTAAACCTGCCTGTGTGAACAGTTAATAGATGTATGATATCACAATTTAAGGGTTTGTTCATGTGTGTAACTATCCATCATGAAATACGATTAAAACGGTGTTATCTTGTCAATCATTTATTAACGGTTATACACCAGTTAATGCTGGTGCTTAATAGGAGAACAGAACTTTTGACCAATACATTAATAAACACTTACAAATTATTAAATGATACCTGCTTTCAACCACATTATAGTGTGTTATAAACCAACCACCATCTACTGCTTATAAACGATTAAGGGGGGGTTAAAATAAAGTGTTAACTTAACACCTAGGGTTAAAAAGGATCTTTCATGCTGTTGCTGTGATCGGTGCCGCTCTATCTATTGTGTGTGTTGCTACAGTATTTGCTGCATTCCTCAGCTACTGTGTAGTAAACATGGAGGGTCTGAGCCATGGCGCCCTGCTTGTATGAACTGCAGTTACTCTGATTCTGAGAAGTTGCCACACACGGTGGTCTGGCACTCAACGGGCTGACTAAACACAAACAGGATCAAACCAAGGCCAAGTATGACCATAAAGCACACATCAGCGGCAGCAGTGGGGTTTTAATGGTTCACAAATCGAAAACAAAAATGCACCAACACACACACAAACAAGCACAGGAGTTTGTTTTCCATTAGGCTTTTAGCTTAAGACCCCCATGTTTTGTTAACTAAAATCAGTTTGACTCCTTTTTCATTTACCATTCATACAAATCAAATAAGTATGTAGAAAAGGGAAAGACAAAACCATCGGCCTGTGGAGTCATGGAAAAATAATATACTGTATGTGTTGGCAATCAGGATGGCTGGCAGGACATAGGAACTACAGAAGCTGTGTAGGGGCAGGTGCTACATCCTCCCCTGCTTTCACTCTCCATATGGCACATACAAAGCTATTGTAGAGCTGTCTGTGGGGACGAGCAACAAAACAAGATGAGACACGTCGAGCGCGTCCAGTCCCAACGACACACAGACATCAGGCCGGTTTGCGTTAATTGTGAAGACTTGAATCAGTTTGAGCTTCTCAGAAAAATGGGAAACCAAAATTTGTTAAAGCTAATACATACAAACATAAAGAAAGAAAAATAATACAGGAACCAGCGGAGAAAGAACAGAAGGAACGACTGGTTCAGTGAGTGAAAGAATAACGTCTGTCACTGTACAACTACACATTTCTCACCAGCATGGAACAAGGTGAACACATGAATACGAGGAACTCTTCCTTTTTTGTTTTTCTCTCAAAAGTTCAACAACACGTGTGGATTCGTAGTCCACTCTGGGCGATGTGGGGTGGGCTGGGAGTAAACTTCAACAGCAGTTCTGACGAGACAAACGGGACCTTCATTATAACTTCGTGGTGTGTAGGTTGAGGGGCAGTGAATGAGGCAGGTGGAGGTGGTCAATAAGGGACGGTTGTCAGGAGAGTTGTCGTGCGTCTTCCTTCACAGGCGTTTTTGGACGATCATTGAGCCCACCACGAACCCGGTCGCCAGGGTAATCCCCGCCAGCAGCCACTTCTTGAAACTCTCCTGAGACCTCCTGCCTTCTGCCGCCGCGTCCTGCCCGAAGATTTCAGCAAAGCGCTCCTGAAAAAAAAAAAAAAAAAAAAGAGAGAGAGAGAGAATACAGGAAAGAAAAGGGTTAACACCGTGGTATTTGCTGCTGACTGATTACAATCTGAAAAAAACCCACATGTATGCAGACTTCCCAAAAACCCCTATTCAAAGAAAACCCCACATGCAGGTTAAGAGTCAGGTAGAATCCCTTCTGTAAAAGTCACTAGGGCTCAATAAAAGCAGACAGCATCAGATCCACCCACAGCTGGGTCTCCAAATGACTGTAGACAGAACCCACACAGTCATATGTGGAAATTTCCATCTACCGCAGCTATATTACAGATAAGGCGACCTCACAACTAGCAAAAAGCCCCAAAAGCCACCTGCATCCATGCTGTGCACAGTAACAACAAGATAAACAAATTCAGCGTCAGGACTGGTCACTGCAAATCTTGCTTAAGTTTTTTTTTCCACCAAGTCATCCCCTCCCCTCTCCGGCATCCCATCAGTTCTGCAGCAGATCCCTGCAGAACCGTTGTGGTCGACATTCTTTTCCACCGTCCTCGGCTTGCCAAGCCTACATCGCCGCCCACTGAAATCATTTCCTGGAAATGAGCTGCAGACCGTGCAGTTTTAATCTCTGGCCACAGGGAGGCACCAGTCAGGCTCAAATGTCATATGCAAACACAAGGTGGATCAGCTGAGCTGGACATGGCCCACTGAGTCACCACTGATGATGCTCATGTTGTCCACGCTTTAAAAAACGGTCTGTGCTTCACCTCAGTAAACATGATTTGTGAGGCTAATGCTCCTTCTTGAGAGCAAATCATGAGCTTTTAATCCAAACAAATGTGGAAAATGTCTAATTCAGATGTCTGATTCTTAGTCAGAGGTGGATTCGACAGGCAGGACAGAAGGTCTTTCATACGAAGGGGGAGCGGGGGGGGGGGGGGGGGGTGTTCCTGGAAACACTACTAAGAAAGGAGACAGGAAGAAGAGAGTGACAGGACAGAAAAGTAACCGGTGTAACAGAAATGATGCAATGGGGAGGGGTGTTGCTGGGAACACAGTAATAAAGTAGATGATATTATTGTGGCATTAATCATGGAGTTACGGGGGCCTGGGGGCCTGGGGCCTGTTTCAGAAAGCCAAATTAACAATGTCTGAACCTAACCCTGAACTCTGAGCAGATTAACACCAAGATGGGAAACTCCTCACCCTGAGTTAACCACGTGCATTCAGCGCCAATGATATAATTCACCATTGCAACAAGTAGGCTAAATAAAGGGCAGTTTAGTCCAGCAGAGACAGAAATATTAATGTGAGCATGTGCATGATATACATCTTTAAAACAACACACTGAAGACGAGAAATCTGACTTTATATAGTTTTGTAAAAGTACGTCCCGCGTTGTACGTGCCATGGTCACAATAAAAACAAACCCCCCTACTCAAAGGGATCCGTATCAAGATTGTTTGTTTGTGTTATGATTAAAACAAATAACTATAAGCTGCTCATGTTTTTAAAACTCCCAAATATCGATACAAATCCAAAAAGCCAGCATGCGGCCGATAAACAAGAAACTGCCACTCAGCTACATTTACTGCACTTTCCCAAATTCTTTTTAGCAGCATCACAGTCATGCTCACTGGGTATGTTCAAGGTTCATTCACTTAATCTCCAATATGAGATATCTATGACTGAGGAATGTTCCATCAGTGTAACCAATCACACCATGAAAAAACACGAGATTGTTATTCATTGATCGGTGTGGCTGGGTGTATAAAGCTTCACACTGAGTCATTTCTTCTTCAAACAAGGATTATTACAGTCATTTGCAATAAATATATCAGTACAGGGGACATTCTGGCGACCTGACAAGCGCAAAAAAGAAGGGTAATGCATACATTTCATTCTGAGCTGACGGTGAATCCCCAATGTCTAATATTTGAATGTGAGGGAAGAGAGCAATGGCTCATAAGCATGGTACCGGTAGTAAAGACGGTCATCTGGGAATTATCTAATATCTGGGATTTTAACTGTTCTCTCCCAACGTGAATCTCTGCAAATTGAGCTTACGTTTTTTAATGAAACAACATGTCCTTAAAGCCCTAAGGATGGGCTTTCTGGAACTGAAAACCCTGCACTGAGGGACACCCAGGGTTTACAAACTCAAGTTTTTACTTAAGCCACTTTCTGGAACAGACCCCCAGATGGACAACAGAGTGAAAAAAGATCAAAAAGTAAAAGGGGGGCTCACGGGCACAAATCAGAGGTGGTTCACAGAGAGAAAGGGCTGCAGAGACGTAGAGGAATGAGGAGGCGTGCCGCGTTTCAATCCTGAGTCATTCCAGAAGTTTGAAGTCATTCTGATTTCTGTTTGACAACAAAGCTGCGGAGTCTAGTTTCTTTTACGCCCCCGTGTATCTTGCCGTCTGATGTGGTGACATCGCCGGCAGCGGACCACTTCAAATACAGACTAAAACCTGAACAATGAAACTGACTGGTACTCAGGAAACATAACAACAATGAGACTACATAGTTACAGGGTGACTTCTAATTAATATGTAATGCTGGTGTGTTTGTTTTACACTCTGATGGCTGTTGCAATATAATGCAGAATTGGGGCTTCTGAGGAAACCAATCTTGGCTTTGCGGTTACTATTTCTAAGAACGTGCAGGGTGTGAACATGGTGGTTGAAGATAACTGGAGAGATGGTGTGACGATGACCTGACATCTGTTGCGTGTGCTATCAGAATTGACTGGCAGGTCAATGTATGTGTCATCAAAACAGTACATACTGTACTACTGTATATTGGCAGGATTTACATATGTCTGTGTTTTTTATTTTAAGAGCCCCTTTTCACACTGAAGGTACGTCTAGTAATGTACATTTTTTGTTATCGTCAGCATATCCAATGAAAAGCCAAAATAAACAACAACAATCATAATAAATTTAATTAGTAACGCACTTTATATTTAAGCAAATCCCAGAGTGCTTTAATAAAGTGCAACTGGCTTTCAGGGATGAAGAAAGTATAAAAATTGAGCCTAATAATAAGCACCTTGTGTGTCACAGCCTTATATATTATCTTCCTCTGGGCTATAGCGCTTCATTGTTGTCCAGAAACTATTAAGAACACTGTGGTGAGATGTTCCTTCATTACCATGAACACGGGCACTGTAGTTTACATACACCGTCCTGCAGCTGGAAATAGCATCCAGCAAAAACCACAGTGCCAAGCCGTTTTTGGAAATAAGAACGGATTAGTTGGGACCAGTTTTTAGTAGGAACCAGGAAGCATGAGGCCACAGAAAAGTACGGACAGATGGACTGTGCTACAAATAAGAAAAATGAATAGTAATGGAAGGCTTTATAGAGTGCAAGCTTAGTTATTTTAAACTGATCAATTCCCCAGAAAACAAAACGATGAAATACAGTACACAAAAGATTAAACAAAACATATAGGCACAAAATAACTTGCTAATAAAAAGAAATACACCTACGTGTTTGAGGCTACAGCTCAGATTTCATTGTGTGTTTCATTGTTTTAAAGCTGATCGGGTAAATAATACAACAAAGCCACTTGAAGCTTCTTCTGGCTGCTGTTCGTTGGTTTCAAAATTCAAAAGTTCATCACAAGGTTTTCGTTTTGAATAGAATATAAATAGCCATAAATGCAACCAAAACTGAAAGAAACAGAAGCACTAACCATATTTGTTCACTGACAAAGTTTTGTTGAGACCACTGCCTAAAGCACTGCTCTTTGGATCCGAAGGGGAGTTTCTGGGCTTTAAGGGGGCGAGGCTGGTAGCTCCTTTCATTCACGATTTAGAAGATAGATAGATGACGATATACTTTATTTAATCCCGCGAGGGGAAACTCGATGTTTTCACTCCGTTATTATGTTAGTATTTTTACACACACATGCACAAACAGTACCCACAGCAACACACGGAGAGATGTCAGAGTGAGGGGGCTGCCACTCGGTGTGGCACCCCGAGCAGTTGGGGGTTCAGGGCCTTGCTCAAGGCCTCCTTCGGCAGTGCCCAGGAGGTGAACTGGCACCTCTCCAGCTACCAGTCCACACTCCGCAATTCTGGTCCGAGCTGGATTCAAACCTGCGACCCTCCGGTTCCCTGCCTAGTCCTTTCGGACTGAACTACTGCCTCCCATTTAGCTCTACACAAAACTTCTACTGTAGAAAAACCGTGAACAGACATTCTAGAGAAGCTTTTAAACTTGTGCGTCGAGTCTATGGTCCCAGTCAATGAGTAGGAATTTGTAAATATGTAACTGAGTGCAACATAGAAGAAGGTTTGAAAGATTTACTGGAGGCCCCTCTGCCTCTCATACAAGGTTGATTCAAGGGGAGAGACGGCGAGAATTTCACCTTCAACCCATGTTACTCCTCGTCTCTTACTCCCTGGAACAGTGCGGCCTTACATACCTCGGATCCACCCTACCAAGGCCTTGTTAGTGACTCTTTACTTTACTGTCTGCTTGTGAGGAAGCTGCCAAGAAAGAGTAAATATTTGTCTTAAACCTCACCTTGACTTCCTACAGGCCTTGATACGGCACAGGAACATTTTCAGAAAAGATAAACTTCTGACACACATGGGAACATGGTCGTTAACACGTGATTCAAGGTGTGCCAAAACACACCTAAAAGAATGGGCTGAAATATGTGTTGGTGGTGACGGAGCTTCATTACTATGAAGCAGTTGGAACTCGCCACAAAAAATGATGTGTACATGATTGTACAGTACATAATGAGGCCTTTTTAGTCTTTCTTGATAAAAAAGGCAAGGTCACCGCCCACCTCTTCCTATGAAATCTTTCCGAACAATGTAAGGAATGTGGGTGTAGAAAACAAACTGCAGCACTTGGTAGCGGTGACAAACACCTTTGACAGACATGTCAAGACATGTTATTGGTCAGTGGGCAGGAATTATATTGAGACTCATTGTGAATTGATTATGTGGTAGTGCCATGGGATGCAAAGGAAAGCTCCTCAAATGCCGTAGA